ATGAAACAGCGACATGGTCAAGAGACAAAGGAGTTGATCTTCGTCAAGMTCSTTATCAACCACCGCTACCTTCGTGTCTTGGTTGATTGTGGTGCAACTTCTAATTTCATGTTTCCACACAGGGTACGCAAGGTGGGCTCAGGAATAAAGCAAGTGGAGTTGCAAACCCCTTGCGGGACCCAAGTAGGCAACAAAGAAGTTGTTCCTCCACGCATGCGGTCAAAGGTGTGCGCACTACCTTTGATAAGGATAAGACCGTCACACATGCACTCAACTTCTACGTGCTTGACAAGTGTCCCTTCAACGTGGTCATTGGATTGGGCTGGTTATGGTCCCAATGCAAATGGACTGAGTGGAAGGACGCTCGCTTTATGGTGCGTGATGCTTTGGGCAATGAACGCGCAATCCTACTAGACAAGAAGAGTGAACGCCAAGTGACTTATCTCAACGCAATGCAATTTTACAAAAAGTGGCGCAAGCGCAGGGAGGACCAGCAAATGTATGTTGCTTTCGTTCGTCCTACCCATGTGCCTTCTACTTTTGCGGCCAGTAATAGTTCTACTTTGCAAACTACGCCTACTTCTAATACTTCTACTTCTTCTTCCATATCCACTTATAATCCAAATGATGCTACTTCAAATTCGGATGCCTTAACTTCTGGTTTGCTGCAGAACTCACGCGACCCATATTCTGATCCTCTACCCCTGGAAGTTCCAACAAATATCCAGAGCCTTCTCAACCAATTCCTCGAAATCTTGGCCGAACCATTTGGAGTCCCCACTCGCTCGGTCCAACACCACATCGAGTTGATAGTAGGCGTTATTCCTCCAAAGGGCTAAGTGTACCAGATGGGACCCGACAAGTTGGAGGAACTCAAGAGGCAAATCGATGAGATGATCGATAAATGATGGATTAAGCCCAACCGATCTGAATTTGGTGGACTTGTTTTGTTTGTTCCGAAGAAAGGAGGCAAACTCCGGACGTGTATCGATTATCGTGGTCTAAACCGCATCACAAGGAAGAATGCATACCTCTTGCCACACATTGATGACTTGCTTAACGCTGCAGGTGGGTGCAAGGTCTTCTCCAAGATTGATCTCAAGATTGGCTACCACCAGATTGAGGTTAATCCTGCGGACACAGAAAAGCGCATTCAAGACGTGCGACGGGCTAAACGAACTTACCATCATGCCCTTTGGCCTCACGAATGCGCCAACCACCTTCCAATGCCTCATGGAAAAAGTCCAACGCGAACAAATAGGTCGGTTTGTTGTTGTATACTGGATGCTATCTTAATTTTCAGCAAAGTGATGGAAGAGCACCTGAGGCACCTTGAGAAAGTGTTGGGAATCCTCAAGAAAACGTTGCTCCATCTCAACTTCGAGAAATCTGAGTTTGGAGGGACAACGTCATCTATCTTGGGCACCGGTTGTCTGTTGCAGGTCTTGAGCCTGAGGCAACCAAGGTTGAGGTCATTCGCAACTTGCCTCAACCATTGAATGTCCGCGAATTGCGTTCCTTCCTTGGTCTCACATTGTACGACCGGAAGTGTGTACCCTGATTCTCTATCATTGCCCGTCAATTGTCCAGATTGACCAGCAAAAGCGTATCTTACACATGGGACAAGGCATGCGAGAGTGGCTCTTGAACCCTTGAAAAAGGCTTTGGTGAGTCAGCCTGTACTCCGCATTGCGGATCCCAAACTCACATTCGTAGTCACTACGGATGCGAGCCAATATGGGATTAGCGCAGTCCTGCAGAAAAATGATGGTGATGGCTTGCGTCCGCTCGAGTACTACAACAAACGCATGCCCAACACAAAGGTAGCTACTTCCATGTATATGCGCGAGATTTATGCCCTGCATATGGCATTAGACCACCAGAAGCACTATCTTTGTGTCGCCACTTCGAAGTCTATTCTGAGTGCGAGACTTTGAACTGGATTAAGGGGCAAACCACCTTGTCCACTACTCTAACCTGCTGGCTGCACGAGATTGATATTTTTAACTTTGAATTGAAGCACTAGAAAGGCTGTTACAATCAAGTTGCTGATACATTGTCTTGCCACCCTAAGTACATGACTTGCTCCGTGGACTCCTACGACCTCTGGAAGAATCTGAAGGAGGAACTCGTAGCGCAGACTGCCCATGATCCAAACCTCAGTCCAATCCTTGAGCAGATCTGGGCTGACCCCAACCGTTAGCCTGATTTTCATGAATGTGAGGGTCTGATTTTTCGACGATACGGTGAGCACGACCATTTGTGTGTACCCAATCATGAGCCGTTATGCAAATCTGCTACAACAATTTGATTGGCCTAGTATGAAGGGATCTGCAGAGAAATTTGTGTCTGAGTGTCAGGTCTGCCAACGAATCAAACCATGAAGGCAAAAAACCATGGGGCTACTTAAACCTCTTCCCATTCCCGACGGTCCCGGAGAATCCGCCTCCATCGACTTTCTCGACATGGGTAAGGTGAGTAAGAATGGGTGTTCGCAGGTGATGGTGATTGTTGATCATTTCTCATTTCTCTAAGTACTTAAACCTGATTCCTTTGCCATATCATGCCCCGACCAGTCTTGTGATCAGCGAATTCCACGAGAAGTACATTCTGCAGTACGGGACCCCGAAAACCCTTATGAGTGATCGGGACCCTTGCTTCATAAGCGCTGATTGGAAGGCTTTCACTACTCAGCTCCATGACATCAAACTAAAGATGACATCTGGTCGACTCCTCGAGGCCAACGGCTTGGCCGAGGAGATCAACCAAACGATCCTGCAGCTTCTCTGTGCCTTAATCATTCCAGATCAGGAGTCGTGGGATGAAGGGCTGTATACAGTGAAGGGGTTGTACAACAACTCCATTCACTCCTCCACCGGAATGACACCAAACCGGCTGCATTTCCGATGGAAGATCCGTAACCCTCTCTCCTACCTATTCCCTGAACAGCCGGCTGGTCTGACGCCTGGTAGGTCTGGCTTCAGTGCCAAGTAGGGTCGCTTGCTCAAAGTTGCCATTGCAGCAATGAGCAAGCGACAGCATGCTAATACAAAGCGCAGACCAGAAACCTTTAAAATAGGTAGCTACGTCTGGGTCAAGATGTCTGAATTCTCGGAAGAAGAGGGGGTGTCGCATAAACTCCTCCTCTACTATGGTCCTTGGGAGGTTCTGGATGTGGTTGGGGAAGATGGGTTTGGCCCTTCATACGTGATTGCTGTGCCCCCTCACCTGCGCACATATCTGGTCCTTCATGCATCGAAACTGTTTCTGTATCTCGATGCTAAATCCTTTGACTATCGTGAGCCTCAGATTCCTCGTGCAACTAGGGGCGGTCACGAGATAGACAGAATTGTACAGCATACTGGGAAAGGCCGTAACAGACAGTATCAGGTTCACTTCATGTATCACCCACTGGATGATCTCTACTGGATTTCAAAGGCAGAACGGCTGTGCAGCGCACCTCGCATTGTAAAGGCCTATGAACGACAGATAGTTTCCAACATTGAGCCAAAAATCTTTGCAAAACTTACTGCTACCGAATGTTTGCCTATGATGCATTCGTCAAAGACTCAGACTGAGTTACTCGCTGGAAGGGACCTCGCTCTTGAAAGGGGGGTAGTGTAAGGACCTGCACAAACATGGACTGAGAACACGGCTGATTTCTGAGTTTTGCCACTGTAACGAATGCCTTGCTGAGTTTCGCGTGTTCTGCTGAGTTTTCTAAGCCTGTGTGCGTGCGTGCTTGCTGGTCTGTGTGCCTGTACGAGCGCTTGCCGACTTGAGTGTGTGTGTGCGGCCAGAATGGGACTTGCTTGCTGATTGCCCCAGTACTTGTGGCCGTGACCGTGAGGGATTGCAGCGGGGAAACACTGAAGTGGCGAGGAGAGGCCCGCGACACTTAGAGCAGCATGGAAAAACACTCGAGTAGCAGGTAGGCTGGTACCGCCGCGTGAAGAGGGAGATGTGTCGGGTACTCGAGGCGGAGCAGAAGAAGACAAAAAGTTGGCATGTTTAGAGGYGCACTAGTGTAGGCTAGGTCTAGGTAGGTACMAGTCCAAGGTAGMCTGAGTCTAGGGCCTGTACGGGCAATATCAGAGTCTGCAATGATGTTTCCCTCCGAAAAGGAGGAGGTACTGGTTGCTTGGGAGGCGGAGCGGCCTGGAAGTCACCGCCCAGGAGGCAAGCAGGCCGCTATATCTCTCGGAGGAGCGAAGTGCTCCTCCTCATTATGCGGTGTGCAAGTTTGGCGACACACTGCTGGAGCGGTAAGCGGAGCAGCGGTGGGTGAAGCAGCACTGCTGAATGAGCGCCCAGCTCCCTCCACCTTGGCTATGGAGCTCGGGCTCGAGGAGGAGGAAGAAGGGCTAGGGGAGGAGCGCCTGGGGTACTTACGTGGCTATTGTGGACGTCGTTTTCATCACCTTGGTGGGCGCTGCATCTAGAAAGCCCCCATTGGGGGAAAGCTGCACCATGAAGCTTTGAGGCTGAGTCAGGCATGGATGCCTCAGTGCAAGCAGCCATAGCTGCTTTGTGTTGTCTTTTGCACACGAGGGCGAGGCCCTAGTAGTCCGGCATAGCCTCGGCCTTCATGAGGAAGAAGGAGAAGGCAGCCATGGCTATGGTGGACCTCATGTGGTACCTGCAGTAGGAGAGGAACCCGGACATTGATTCTGGTGCTGCCATTCATTCATTATTATTATTATTTGTTGTTTGAATAAGAGAGGCGGAGTAAGGAAGGAGGGATTGGTTGACGAGAAGGAGAGGAGTTATCATTGGTCCTTGCTGGTGTACATCTTCTTCTTCTTCTTATACTCTCACCTCCCAAGTTCATTCATTTCTTTTTGCAGTTGGTCGGCATTGTGCTTTCTTGCGAATTTGTACTTCGAAATTGGCTGTTCTATTCGGGTGAAGACGGTAGTTGCAGAATAAGCTTGCCCGGCTTGCTGACCGCCAAGTGTGTCTCCCTGTCATGGAATGCATTGCAACTCTGCCTCTCCCAGGTTATCTTCACGGGGAATGTGATCACAAACATCGCTTATGGGGATATGTCACAAGATATTGATGTTGAGGCAGTTGCACGTGCTGCCAGACTTGCAAATGCTCATGAGTTCATAGATCGTCTTCCAGAAAAATATGTGACTGAGTTGGGGAACCGTGGGTCATCGCTCAGTGGAGGTCAGCGACAACGGTAAGTTACCGTGCAGGTAGGCAGATAAAGACATGCTCTTACATAGAAGGTAATCTGCTTGTTGTCTTGTGTTTCCTTTTGTCCATGAGACGTCAGCGTTATAATTTTATTTGGGCCTAAGATTGCCAGTGAAAGAAAAAAGATGCGGAAAAATATAATTGTTTACCGCCAGATTTTATTTTTCTCTCGGGAAACTTTTTTTTCTCCAAAGATTCAGCGTTGATCTGCTAGAGGGGTTGATATGAGCATCTCCCTCTAGCAGCACCTGTCTCCCCACCATCTATCCGAAAACTTATTCTTGAATTTTTAAATATCATCCTGAAAAGATCAGCAGCAAAGCAATGCACCTGATTTATTTATTTTTTTCATTTTTTTTGTGCCTAAAAAGTAGTGTGGAAAATCATCAAAATTGGCACGCACAAATTTTGCACCGTGCCCCAGTTGGCCGACCCCCTGCCCGCACCCCGGCACCCATTGTGGCTCACTCACCAGTGTGTTAATTTCAAAGTGGTGATGGGACAGGCAGTTCAACATATCGGGGACTGATGCACAGGTGGCTGCCACTAACGTTGTTTTGCCTGGTAAAGCTGTCGCCTGAAAATAGAATTCCTGTCATGCCAGATAGGCATTAGGGCTACGCTAAGAGGAACTGCTGATAAGTTGCAGAATCATTCTTCTGCATCTCTTTTTTATGAAGACTGTGTTAACCAATCAAGGGTTATGAAACAAAGATTGGCATAGCCAAGGATGCAAAACAGTCTTCAGAACCTCTGTAGGCCAAGGGCTAAAGACGCTCCAGGCTGCAGCAGAATCAAGCCATTCGGCAAGGGGCTAACCATTCGGCATCTGTCCATCCCATCCATTCATCCTGTCCCATCCCACTCATCCAAACCACCCAGCCTCCATGCATTCATTGAACAAGTGGTTTCCGCTGCTGTGCCTGTGGCAACAAGGAGGGGCGGGGAGGGCTGGGGGGGAAGGGAGGGTGCAAAAGGGAAGAGTGTGATCGATGTCTTGGTCTGTCTGTCTATCGGTCGCTCGCTCTCGGTCTCGCTCGCTCTCTCCCTCTCTCCCTCTTTCTCTCTCTTCATACGACTCTCTCTTTTTGTGCTTTGTGCATCATCAGGGATGCGTCTCTCTCTCTCTCTCTCTCTCTCTCTCTCTCTCTCTCTCTCTCTCTCTCTCTCTCTCNCTCTCTCTCTCTCTCTCTCTCTCTCTCTCTCTCTCTCTCTCTCTCTCTCTCTCTCTCTCCTGCGTGCATGCTATGTGGCCACTCTTGCCCTCTCCACTCTCTCCCTCTCACACTGTGCAGTGGTGCTGGAGAGGCGCACGCCGCACAGGGCATCTCAAAAAGCAAATCACACCCATGCAGTCGGAAATATTTCTTTACCGTGTAGCACAATTGTTTTTTGCACGGCGGTACACATGAACCTTTTTGTGTCGTGGACGGTATTTTTTTGGGGGGCCGTGTGACCAATTGCTGGGCCATTCTTGGGCCTGTTCTGTCCCACATTATCCCACGAAACCCACTTTCCACTTGAAGAGGTTTGGTGGATAAACTGGAAAGCAGGCAGGTGGAGAGTTCAGCACCGCGAGAGAAAAGCAAGGTGCATTACTGCAGCACGACTGTTTGGCCTGATCTTGCTAGAAACTTTGCAGGCGCAAATTGCATGCAGAAGTGCTGTGAATAACCATCATTCGTGATTGCTCAGGCAAAATGAGAGGTTTCAGAGGGTAACAAGATGACAGGCATTCGATCCGTTCCAGATTATTCGCAGCTTCATTCCTGATGGGCTTCTTGTTTTTCATCTTTCTTCGACTTCTTCATCGTTCTTCTTCTTCTTCTTCTTTGTCTTTGCGCTCATCTTCTTCTTCTTCCTGCTCTTCATTTTCTCTTCTTCTTCTTCTTCTTCTTCTTCTTCTTCTTCTTCTTCTTCTTCTCCTTCTTCTTTACCACCACCACCGCCACCATCTTACAAAAGTTTGAATGACTGTTTACTCAATCATCAACACTCCTACCTTCTTCCCCTGAATACAACGTACGGTCATTATAGCTGYATCTAGACTGAAAGATGCCTCAAATACAGCTATAATGACCGTACGTTGTATTCGGGGGAAGAAGGTATRTGTGTACCGTTTAACCTAAGCACTGATCAGGCGTTTGCTGGCAACCTGCAGGTTATCTATTGCAAGGGCAATTTACCGGTCACCAACAGTATTGGTATTGGATGAAGCTACTTCCGCGCTTGATAATCAGTCTGAGAAGCTAGTAAGAGAGGCACTGGAGCATCTGATGGAGGGACGGATGGTAAGATCTCCCAGCCTCTGTATGACGATTTTGTTCAGTTCCTTTGAAGTATGGTCAGAATGAGAGCACAGATCACCTGTAAATGCTTTGAATGTCTTCTCAGTTATCTTATTGTGATTGCATGCAGCCACTAACAGTGCTGGATAATGTGCTGACTTCTACGAACACACTGGACCATGGTTTTCATAGCACTGGCATGCCGATACTCACACCAGGACTCGTGAAAGTTCTTTTGACCCCATGGACAGACTATTGACTTCATGGGCAGCCTATGGCTGATTTGCTAGTCCTAGTCCAAGGGAAAAAAGAGGGTGAAATGGGTCTTAGTCTCTCAGAGGAAATCTGATTGACAGTTTTGCTGTCAGGCAACTGAAACCTGACACACCTGTCGGCCTTCAATGGGTTCATCTCGTCAATTCTTCCCCGTCCTGCTGGCATGATTTCATTTGCACTGAACTGGCCATGCCCATTGTCCATTACCCATCGGCTGGTACGCACCATTAGAGACCCATTTGGTGCAGTCCTTGCCTCTCATGCTGGGTGTCCTGGACTGTTTTTGCTGGCCACAAAAGAATCGTAAGCGAAAAATACCAATGCAAGAGTGCAGCCCAAGTAGATCAAAAGCTGGCATAGAGGGTTGTTCATCGAATGCGATTGTACTACGGATACTGAGAGCTTTGTCATCGCACTGCCCTGGGATTGTTGGAAATCAAGGACTGAAACTGTAGTGAATGTGTGTTTGGGAGCTCTTTAGGGTTTTGGCCCTTTGGGGGAGGGGGGGAGGGGGGAGGGGGGAGGGGAGTACAAGGAAAATGGTGCTGTGAATGTCCTCCTCCATCAGAAGTCAGGTAGAGCTGAAAAGAAACGCAACTGTTATATGTTGCGATTTAATAAGTTTCAGCATTTTGAAGAGTCAAGAAAGGATGCCTGTGCTTAATGTGAGAATGGGGTGCCGCATCTTGATGGATGCATGATGCATGAGAAAATCACAGTTCTTCTCGGGTTCTCTCTTTCTCCTGCTGTTCACGCTTTCTCATCCTCCTCTTTGTCCTCTACCTTTTCTTGCCCACCTCTTTCTCCACATTAGCTCCTCCTCTTTCTCTCAGCTTCCATCCTGTCCTCGTTTCTTCCTCGGACTGGCCTTCCTCTCTTCTCTCTTCTTTGCATCCTCCTTTTTGTTGTTCCTTCCTCTTCTCTGTGATGGCCACTCTTTACGGTTATCCTCCCTGCACACCTCATTGCTCTTTTCCCTTCCACCTATCCCTCCCTTCACTTTCCAGCCTCTGTGCATTCAATTATTTTGGATGTTATCCTCCCCTCTACCTCTCCTTCTTCAGCTGTACCTGCTCCTTCCTCCTCCTCCTCCTCCTCCTCCTCCTCCTCCTCCTCCTCCTCGTGCCTCTGCTATGGATCTTTCCATAATAAATTGGACAACATAGAGACCCAGTCAAGCATTCCATTCTTGTTATATATATAATATATTATAACTTACAAGTTTGCGAGTGAGTTGAATCTTCCTTCCCGATGCGTTTCAGTTTGTTGTTGTCAACTGGAAAACAAAAGAGATTCCTACCGGTAGCGCTGGGTTAGACAAATAAGCCAAGTATGCAGAAGTAACGAAAGCTGTAGGGGTGCTTGTGGAATGGGTCATGGGTGTCCTGCAGTTCGAACAGGAGCGAAGTTCCTAGCTATTTTCTGGCAGTCGGCAAAAGCCAGATCAAACAGTAGTGTCTGAATGAAAAATGGGAACTCCTGTAGGCAATTATTAGTAGCAGCAGAGCATTTGTACTCAGGGGTGGAAGTCTCAGYTCGCCATCTTGGTYGAAYGAGGCTTCTATATTTACTGGTGTGCAGGCATTGAGCGYACRGAACAGATCCTGCTGACCAGTTGTGGCATGTGGTGGTTAGTGCTCATTACATTGATAAACTTCTGCCGCAGTCTGCGGATGATGTTTTCTAAGATCGTAGCTGGAAGGATCCTTGGTCAAAACAAGCAATGTTATGTAGCAGTCTTTGGGTCGTAGTTTGCACTATGATGATGATGGTGATGTAAGCTTCAGGAGTTAGGTCCATTATACAGCAATCTTGTTGTTGTCGTTTGTCATTCACTACCCATGTAATGAGAATGCTGACTCTCTGTTTCACTATCCATGTAATGAGAATGCTGACTCTCTGTTTTGCACTCGTTTGCATGTGGTGTGTGTCCGAGTGCATGCTGAACACAGGTCCTGGTCATCGCTCATCGTCTAGAAACCATCCGGAATGCAGATTGGATTCTATATATGGAGGGTGGTGAGATATTAGAGGAGGGTAAACATGACGAGTTGCTTTCTAGGGGTGGACGATACTCAATACTGTACGAGCAACAAGCATCTCCAGGTGCTGCTTATGGCTCTCAGGGGGAACAACTGAGCCTCTATTAACGCATGCGGGGTAGAAGAAGTCACCATCCAASCAAAMACAAAGATSCCAACAGCGATGGGACTAYGACTATGATAGCCAATCAAGTGAGCTGCCACCTGAAGTCCGCTTGGGGCACAAAGGAGGACTTACCYGTTTGGCAGGGAATTGAATATGTTCTCGGTGTCTCTGTGGTGTTGCTGTATTTGGAACACCCCTGACAAAGTGGTGACGTCTAGCAAGTAGTCAGTCATCCATGTGTATTCTTTGGCTCTTAGCTCCACTGGAAGATTTTTGAAAATGCGGATGGTAGCTCCTTTGCTTGAGGGGGCTTCTATTTAGGGTAGGGGTGCAGAGTGATATTCTGGTAATGAAGACCTGCTGTGGGATTGTGCGCACTGCGCACAGCACACTGTCACAGAGGGAGGTCAGGTGGATGGACTGTTCACAGCCAGGGTAGTGGGTGGGTGATTAGAGGAGTTTTCAAGGTTTAGGTATTGCGAGCCCCTAAATCCTCTCCAGTGAGTGGGGAGATGTCTCAGGATTGAAGTGCTGTTGCATCAGTTGGAAGCACTCACAGGGTTTGACCCCTACGATTGGGGGTTCACTTTGTTTCTGCGGCGCCCCTTGGAGAGAGTACCCATGGATATGCTAAAAACGAGCAGCAGGCTTTTTGGTCACAAGCAGCAGAGTGATGCATGTTGCTATTCATCATGCAAATTGAGTCCACTCCTTTCTGCATCTCCCTGTGCTCCGAAACATCGATGTATATCACATTGTTTGTATGTGCACTGCACAGTACATTTCTCATTCACAACGTCATTGTGAGTCGTGGTCTTTCGTGCGTGGTCTCTGAGGTCATCTTTGGTATCTCTGAATCTTACCCCCTTCTTAATCCACGATCTGTGTGTGTGTGTGTGTGTGTGTGTGTGTGTGTGTGTGTGTGTGTGTGTGTGTGTGTGTGTGTGTGTGTGTGTGTGTGTGTGTCTGTGTGGTCTGCTTGTTGATATATGTAAAGAATGTGAAACTGTTTGTCTGCTAAGCCTTGGATCGCTTTCCAGCGTATCTCACCCAGATTCGCCACCCATTCTTTAACAATTGTGTCCTAATTGGCTTCAGATGCACTCCAGCAAAACCCAGACATCTCCAATGTCACTACGACTTGTACAGGAACCACAAGGAGACACTGTTGACGTCCCTGCGATTAATGTGCTAGGGAGCACCTACACATCACACAAAAAGAAAAACAAGAAAAAAAAGCAAAAAATATGGCCAATCTGACAGTTTCAGTGCAAAATTCGGCGAACAAACCCCCCCCGGTTAACCACATGTGGCGATGTGAATAGCGTGGATGCAGGTACGTTGGTCATCCGTCACATATAAACTTTTTTTTTTTTTTTTCTAACATAAAACAGAACCTTATGGTTCTGGCCCCTTTTCCATTCTGGGGGGCACCAGTCCGGTTCCTATTCCACCGGCAAGTCGATTGGAATACATGAGAGACACACACACGCTCTTCCCCTTTACGGTAGGAAAGTCCGAGGGCCGGCATTGATTACTTCTCGCCAGAAGGATGTACCAGCCCCCACCCCTGCCCTGAGTTATAGCCTATTTACTTTAAACTGGTGGCTAGCGCCTGGTTAGATACTTGGAAAGGGCACATCTCTTCACCTGTTCCTCTCAGTCCTTTGAATCTCAGATTTCCGTTAGGTACTGGAACTGCCGACCCTCAGGCTTTTTCTTCAACTCAACAGAGGAAGTTACCCGGAAGTAGTGCAAAAGAGAGAAAAAAAAAGGAGCATGGCAGTAAAGGTCAAAGTCTGGGGTGAGCTTTGTCACTGAAACCATTATCAGTAAAATAATTGATATACTAGGAAGAAGCTTCATGGAAGTTTTCGACTCGTCTTCTTCCTTCTCCTCCTCCTTTTTCTTCTGAGTCTGAGTCTGGACCATTCTCAATTCGTGTGTGTCATCGTTCCATGCACAGGGCGCAGACTGATCTTCTGTGTATAACAATTTTAACAGATGTCCCAAAGGCATGGTTACCGCCCGGACCTCCGGACCGGTTTCCAGACACCCCCAAACATTTTGTAGGGGTCCGGTGTCCGGAACTGCCCCCCCCAGCAAAAAATCAAAAAAAAAAAAGGGGCCGCCAAGGACATTTTTCGGGTCCTCGGCCTCCCCGGAAAAATAGTGGGCCGATTTTTGTGAGTGTTCTCGGCCTACCGGACATTCGTTGAAGGCCGGACCCACCACAGTCTGCAGCAGACTCAGTAGGGGTGGCGGGAGGCAGGGCCAGCACTTCGAAACTGGCCGTTTTCGAATCTCGCGGGCTGCGCTTTACGGAAGCCGCCATCTGCTACCCGTCACGTCCCCACTGCAGCCCGGCAGCCATCGACGAGGAAGCCGCCATCGCCCACGAAACAGCCAGCCGCGCCGCCAACGTCCAAGAAGCAGCCAGCCGCC